CATCTTAATTAAATTGTCAACACCTTACAAAATAACAGGAAATAGTGCAAATAAAAGGTCAGGTATCAAAGATCAAAACTTGAGTGCATTTATCTTTCCTCAACAACCAAACGTTTAAACTTTTAGTTCGTTCCTTCATGATTTGCATAAAACCTCGAAAATATCTACTAAACAAACAGAACAAAAAAATCTCTAAATCTCAAAAACTTCTTATAGTGTGATAGTAACAATATTAAACCTCAACTTCTCGTGCTCTTTGACGCAATGGAACTGGGACCAAATTGGGGAAATAGGTACGGTGATGAGGACAATAGTCAACCAGATCTTCTATTCTAATTTGATGTAACTGATCTCCCTTCCCGACATATATGCAAGCTTGTCCATTCTTGTCCATCCAACACAATACGAGACTGAGAGTTTCTTCGTCGATGAAGTAACTTGGTGGATAGACCAGTAACCGTGTTTTAAATCCCACCAGTCAGAAACTAGCACATTCATGAACTCCATCCATTCCACAGCCTCTCCATCTCCATGACTAATCTTCTCCTTTGTCACCCAAACATCTATATTCCCGCTCTAAATGCGAAAACTGATCTCCCTTGAAAACCGCTAAACATCTATGATCGATTACATGGTTCTTCTTGCTAGGTAAAGCACAAAAGGGTATGAATCTCTCCACCGAAAAATCAAAACTTTGGATGAAATATTCACGAGCCACTGAATTATAAGAAACCCAATACAAAGTTCCCTTCAAGGATATACTATAATACGTTGATAACATATTCAAATTATCATATGCAAACTTGTAAGACTTGGTCGCTTCGGATCCTAACTCGGTGATTGTAACTTTTAGGGGGGACAGCATACAACGAACTAAGTGGTTAGTGATGAAAATCTTGTCGGTCACGAGCCAAGTGGTTAGTGATGAAACTCTTGTCGGTCAAAAGAGTGTTCCAACATTTGCAAACGAATCTGAAACGAGCAAGAGATGGAGCTGGAATCCGAAGGATCGGAGTATATCTTCCTCCAACTCCCATGGAAGATTCACAGATTCCATTCGATAGTTTTCTTACGGAGGAGGTTTGTGATATAAAAATCTTACATCAAACTTGGATTTGTCTAGCAGATACTTATAGTTTAGCAGATATTTATAGTTTACCTCAGCGAGTTCCTACTATTATTTTGATCCG